CTATCTGAATATATTGCTTTTCGAAAGGTTAGGGTAGGTTGGCTGACCCAACTGGTCTTACATAGACGATATAACGTCCATAGTGTTACTGGATATAGGACTAAGTTGCACTGTTACACTCTCCAGCACCAAGTTCGTTCCGAGAGTCTATTCGCCTAGCGAAAATATGTTACTGCTTACATTTGCTTCACTTCTCTGAATGGAATTGGTATGCCCATTATTAGTCCTGTTCCAAAAAGATACCCTAACTGCCTTCAATGCCCTTATGACTGACATACAGTAGATAAAAACTCTTCTTTATTCAGACAGTCAGTTTATTGCCTTTTTACATAATGGGACCACAGCCAACTTCGTGTTTTATGAAATACAGGTCTTTATGGCCGCTTGGCTATTTACACATATGTATGTGTCTTATCTTCCATTGACAACCAACACCTTGCAGTAGTTCTACCGCCAATTTTATGACAAATATTTCGGCTCGAATTATTCTGCAAAAGTTTGACAGCTTTCATGTCTTTCTTGTATCTTGCTTGGCGTCTCGACTCCTTTGTTTATTTGGAACTATCTTCAAAAACATGAAGTCCGTTGCCTGCATATTTCTGTCCCTTGCTTCAGTCATTCGCCTCCATTGTAGCTGACTTCAGCTTCCCGAAAGTCAGACGCAGGATAACTTAGCATTCGTACAAATAGCTGTAACGTCTTGAAACCATGGCCCTAAGTCTTGATTTTCAGATGCTGTTAAGAATGCCCAGTTTTCATATGCAAGATTTGCTGGTGTGTTGGTTCAGATCGTATGTAAGTTGTTTTGATTGCCCCGGCGATATTGATCATTTTAAGTCTGAACACCTTTTCAGTCTATCCAGACATGTTATGTTGTCCATGGCTTCAAAGCTCCACAAGAAGCAATTGACTTAATAATCCTAATGAAGATCCGTTAGGGTTGATGATGCCTTCTTCACACGCTCCTCTATGTGGAGTCTCCACGATAACTTGATATGCAACACAATTACCACGTACCTAATATTAGTTTCAACTGTAAAGTGACCTCTTTTAACTTTGTCTTGATCCAAACTGCAATTTTGTATTTCCCTGTGAATAGAACCAAATCTGCTTAGGACTTTAAGTCCTGTTGAAATATCCTAGTTGTTAATGGTTATAAGCGCTTGATTCGTCCGATATACGACTGATATACCGTAGGAATTGTAATGCTTTCGTTACACACAAATTTATCCTACTTAAAAATCTCAACCTTACATCCAGATCGAATATCTCCTAAAAAGAATTGGTGAATCAAGAATATTATTATTGGCGGGAAATATCATTGAAACCGAGAATTAAAACAATCAACAGAAAAATGTTAAGATTAATCGTAGTCTCTAAGGGAGTAAGGGCCTCGGTTCTTTGCCGAAGGTACTTTTCGTCATACATAAGTTGACAATATAACAACAGAAATTTCTTTCTTTTATCCACCATTTGTATACACTAAGTGAAGTTAAGTATTTGTAAAGCTAGTCTTCCCCTGCTTCTATCCCCGAAATTTTTTTTTGGACATTTGAAGGGAAATAGTCGGGATTCGTCCTTGTTCCTTGTTCACGTTTGTATCTTTTAGCACACGATAGAGAACCACCACTTGAAAAGGCTCTTCGCAATACTGAAACAATTTTTAGTGATAGTTGGAATCAACTTACAACTTCATCTTTTAGAGGAATTAACAAAAGTGAGCCATTCGTTTACTCTTTTAACCATTAGCAGATATTCGGAGACACCAAAAAAAAGCAGGTCTCGAACCCGAGTGCAAGTCTTTCTCCCTCCACTTCCACCAGAATTATCCATAGAATACTTTCAGAGTTAAAGTGCTTTTGCGCATACGGACAACAATTCTTGGCTCGCGTAGCCGCTGCCTACTGCCATTCGTAAGGCCAATGTTCGAGTCCTGTTCCGACCAATATCCAAAAATTCCATATAATTCTTTAAAATAAAAAATTAAGATAAATATAATTTCGGTCATCCTCGACAGGGATGTCAACTGCTCCGAGTGTATTTCTGATTTCTGAGACAGCTTAGTATAAATAGTTGGGAAAAACAATCAGACGTATTAGAGGAGGAGCTCGGCAAAGAAAGAAAATCGTTTCAGAAGTTACAAAGCGCCAATTATATATATATACTCGCATATGCCAATATCGTCGTATATGTCATGGTATTCATTGTTACACCAGTTATGGCTTTCTTGGCAAGAGTGATTGTAAAAGTAAAGTCTTCGGTGAATTTTTGACAGTTTCCAAACTCTAGTGTCCTTGTTTTAATCGTTGGGCAGTCCTATTTCCCTTCACTACAGTGGTTATGCTGTTGCTTTTGTAGTAACCGAAAATATATTCCCCAAATTGGGTTTCGGGGAATATTGTGGGAGTGGCAGTTCTCCGCTGGATTCTTGCGACAGGCGGGCTTTACCGTGGATAAATTTTTGAACCCATAACTGTAGGCGTAAATAGTGGGGTTTCTTAGCTTTGGACCAACTTGAAAAATAGATTTTTCTCTGGCCTGACAAGTGAAGCCCTTGAAATACCTTGTACTCTTAAATCCAAATATTGAAAATTTCCTCTCATTTTAAACAATTGAGAAATGCCATTACCAATAGTAATTAAATCAGATTGAAATACTATCTTTGACTTTCTAACTCTCTAATCAGCTTAACCTTTTCACTGTGACCTTCAACAGATTTTTTATTTAACTACTAGTTATGGTTTCATAACATAGTGAAGTCTTCATTAAAACCAAATACCTTGAGAATGCAATATATAGCCCTTGGATTCCCTGTAGAATTTAAGATTAGGTGATATTTTGGTCAGACTCACCTCTGATCGCACATTATTGATAGAAGGCTCACTAGCGGGGAAGGTTGCTCTCTATGGGTTCAATATTGCGGATCACACAAGAGACTTTGTTTACATTACCAAGTAGTCTTTGTGAAACTAGTTCATAATAAATTCTCCATGGAAGATTGTGGCAAATGCACTCTCCACTTTAACACATTCCCTTTACTGCAGGGACACTTGCTAAGCCGGCCGACAGTGTGCGCTTGTACGTGCAGCGTTGGTTCAACAATGGTACAGAACTCAACACCATCAAATATTGACGTACCACTTCAAAATTGTACTCCAGCGCTTATCCGTTGTTGTGACGAGTAGCATTAGTGGCAACTCTTGTCATCTCTCGTGCAAAGCTCGGAGCGGCCGTTGGCGGTGACTGCTTGCTTGCTCATCCTAAGGCGTTGAGTGCATAAAAATACTGACATATAGATATTTGTATGTACATCTGTATATGCAGCTTATCCATTGCCCCTTTTCATTGTATGCTTTGTTTGTTTGCTTACATGTGAGTTCGTGAGTGTGTGTATGTTTGTACATGTGTTCGCTCGTATGCTGCAACATGTTTGTAGAGTAATTTTTTCGCTTTCGTTGCACTTTTACTGCCGAACTGCAGCCGTTGCCATTGCCGCTGCCGTTACTGATACTGTTGCCTTTGGCCATTGTTGGCTGCCACCTCCGCTACCACTTCATTTGCTGCTTTGAAGTGGATCCACTTTCATTTGTTTGCGAAAATGCTCACTCCTCACCTTCTTTCTTCTTCAAGCGCCGACGTTGACGGTCATGAATTTGAAAAGTTCGAAATAATCCCGTTTTGGGAGTGTGGGTGAGGGGTAGGTTCTCACACAGAGAGTGCCAACGCATGGAAAATGTGGCAGTACGAAGGTTTAGAAAGGGGTTACCATATTTCTTGTACTTTACAAAATGACAAATGAATGCATAATACATATAGGTATAGGGTACCTAAGCGTGTACATACGTATGTAAATAAGGCGCTCTCATATTGTTCTCGACTCTGCTGATTCAGCTTTGCTTGATGCCCTAAGCGTTTGCACAAACATTTCATAGACTACTATTATTAACAACTAAAGAAATTTTAGCAAAAGTAAAAAATGTAAAAAAATTTAAAATAGTATTAAAAAAACCTAAAAAATGAGGCAAACTTTTTGAGTTGTAAGTTCCATCAGTTTCTTTTTATAGCGATACATTCTTAAAGTGCAAATTAGCTGTGCAGTTACTGGAGACAAGATGAGCAATTGGGCCACCTTGTTCTTGCACCCTTAGCCTGTTTGGCTGTCTTAAAAAATACTTATGCGGGTCAATTGTTGCTGGATCGAGGTTGTTCCTGGAAATGGCAAAGTTGCCTTTTGTGTTTTCTGTTTCACAATCATTTTATTTCGTTCGCATGAAAGCAGTGAATGCAATAACCTTTGTGTTGATGGCGGCTGTTGTTATTAGATTTTGTGCAAATTTAGAAATTGAGGCCAGTCTTGGTTATACATACACGTACACTCATTTTAACAAGCAATCGGCATCGGTCTTCAAAGGCAACTAAAGCAACCTAATTTTTTTGCAGATTTTGGTACAGTGTATGGACAGCAGGACATTTTCGGAACTTTCTGGGTTTCCGCCTTTCTAAGATCCAAAACATATGCGGTTTCCTTCATTCAATAGATGCCCAATGGGTGGAAAAATCCCGTTAGGAGGTCAGTCTTTTTGAAATCTATTATAGCGATCATATAAAATAGTTCAAATTGGTTGTTGGTTTTATTTAACATTCATTGCGGTAGATGAACGTCTTACAAAAATCCGAATCAAAGGAAAGTTCATTAATTATTCTCTAGAGAAAAGGGAAGGATGTGACTAAATGCGCTATCTCTAATCCCATAGAATGCACGTAAATATATATGTATGCTCGCTGCCCTTACCAGTCAAACAACAGTCGGAAAATTCAACCACCAAATGAGCTGAGGCTAATCGACTTATTCGAGGACAGAAATCAAACCGAAAATAAAATAAAATAAAATAAAATAAAATAAAATAAAATAAAATAAAATAAAATAAAATAAAATAAAATAAAATAAAATTAAATAAATTAAAATGAAAGGTTTGAATAAGTTACATGGTGCTGCTGAGTTTGATTTTATTCGAATCTAAGTTCATAATAGATGATTGAAAATATTCGTAGTAACTACACCGCATACACTCGTACATATTTAATGGCCATTGTCGCATGTGGTGTCCAAGTTTTGCTGCAAGTTTTCTCTTCTTGATTTTTATCGAGACATTTTGGCCCCCCTTGAGTTAAACAACAATCTTTGAAACTGTTATCAAATTGAAAAGAGGCATCTTGACTAAAATCCCTCCAAGGCTTTAATGGTGAGTCAGGGAATTCCAAATGTCCCCCGGCTGAGACACCCAAAACGATATGGTACTGAAAAATGATATGTTATTCTAAAAGTCTTATACAATATAAACAAAACAACAATAAAAAGCTTGGATGGACTAACAGATGGTTCTGGATTGGTATAGCCGAATATAAAAAATGCTTACTGGTTCATCATATTCGCCATTATTGACGATATAGCCAATTTTTTCACTATCCATATACAAAGTAATCCTTTTCGATGTCCATACCATAGTGAAATTATGATACGAATATGGCCTTATATTCGATATATCAGCCATCTCGCTAATACGTGTGAAATTCTTTTCTCCAGCGGACTGCTTTACCAGTTTAACGGCTCCGGCGCTAAAATGAAAATTTAAGCCATCAGATGTTGCAAAGGCTATCCGCAGCTGCTTGCGGTTGTCACAGTTCAAATTGTCAGGTTCAAGCATTACGGCTGGAGTTGAAAAAAATAAAACATTAAATAAAAATTAAAAATAAATTAACCAATAATTTAGTTAAGCAATATTTACATGGAAATAACCAAGCACCCAATGGCAACTTTGCAAAAACTTCTATACGACCATATGTAAAGCTGAATGTCTTCTTCGTGCTGATTCTGGCAGAGATCACTGGCGCCGGAAAACCGGAATGGCGATCAGTTGTCGGCTTATAGAAACAGTTGGCATTTTCATCTTTAGCACATGGAGTGGACGTACATCTATAAATACAATACATTGCACATATATATGTAATTATGGAAACTTACAGACAAGTTCGACCATACCTAGGTAATTCAAAACTTACATCTCCATGTCGTTCGGATAGTGATGGTGTTATACGAAGTGTATGGTTGTCTATAAAAATTCGCGCCTCATCATCCGTGTACATAGTAAAGTCTCCCAAGTAGCCATCGAAATTCGAAGGCATAAATATGTCATGTGTCCATTTCGAAGTATCAAAGCTTTCAAAGTTATCCTCAAATATCAAATCATCTGGCTTAAATATTTTTTCTAACGGCAACTTTTTAAAATTAGCTCTCGTCTCGCTTGTTTTAATCGCGGCTTGTATATCCTCTTGCGTGGTGGGTGTATAGATGATTGTAGAATTTTTCGAAATTTTAAAATTATCAGAACGGAAAATTAGGCCATGCGTATGTCCGGCCACTACTTGTACTCTCACCTCATCATTTTCATACAATTCCTCTTCAGGATGTTCCTTTATCCAAGAATTATTCGTTTTCTCAGTCACTAAATCCATTATTGAGTATTGTCCGTTTATGAAGACATGGAAAACGACCAATGAGGTTCCATGTTCAACTATAAATATATATGTAGAATAAAAATAAATAAAAGCTATCATATACATAGGTTTAGTAAAAAGTATTACATTACTTTTGCAATATTTGTTTTTAGTGATCTGTGGATTAGGCTAGACGGCGTTAGAAAAGGACTAAAAGAGAGAATGAAAGACGTATTGAACATTTAACTCACTAAGCACTTGTCGAAAATGTCGATAAAAAATCGAAATCGTCCTGTCTGACCAATACACGAGCACTGTTTCGATTGCCCAGGAGCTAAACGATGCACACAAAACATAGTTTGAAACCACTTGAAGAAGGTTGAGTACAAATTTTTTGTCAGGGTGTCACATGAGTTCACTAGAAAAAAAACGGCATTGACCGAATTTCCATCTTCAAATCGCTGCTAAATCATAACGAAATCGACCGGAAGCGGATGATGGCTAGTGACTAAACATGGATCACCTACACAACATCATATGAAAAGGTTCAAAGTAGAGTGAACTCGACGATCTCTAAACCAGGAAGGTTTTGTTGTGTTTTTGATGCTATTAGCAAGGAATCATTCACTATAAGCTGTTAGTAATTGGGCCGTCCAAAGGAAGCAATAACAAAGAAGAGCCCAGCCTTGGTAAAATAGGAAGGGAATTATGTTTCATGTGGACAAGGCTAAACAGCACACATCGATTGGGACAGAAGTCCCAAGAGAGAGGTTGATATGTTCTTGTACGTTCACCTTACAGTGCAGACTTCGCGCCCAGTTGTTTTCGTCCATTCTTGTCCATGACGAATGATTTGGTTGGTGGAGGATTGGTCTCAGCAGAAGCGTGTGAAAATCGATTGTCCCAATATTTTGCCAATTGGGGGTAAGGGTTTCCACATACGAGAGAGGAACAGTGAAATTATCTTCCAAGTGGCAAAGAGTTATTCAACAAAACGCGGCATGCTTGACTTAAATCGGTTAACTCTAACTTTGGTATATAAAACCACCAATTTAATGCAAAAATTTCGAGACTTTTAAAGTAACCTAATCTTCACTCACAAGGTATTGATACGCGAAAGCCATGTTGCAATTTTTCCAGGTTTATTTGTGGTATTTCGTAGCAATTCACCGTTATATCACAACAAAAATAAATCCAAAAGAAAACTAGATTTAAACTATAGAGACGCATACTTTTAATTTGTTGAACACTTCCCGGTATTAAACTAATGAGCTGTCTCAGGCAATAAAATGCAATAAACTGTTGACTTGAAGTGATAAGCGCTGATACAAGCCGTGGAATTGACATTCACGGAAATATAGATTGCACTCATTTGACACATACTTATATATATGAATACTAGAAGACTCGTCTATACGTAGCTGTGGCTTTTTATACGCACATCGAGATTGGACGCTGCGCTTGGAACCCGTGACGAAAAACACTCTCATTTGCCAGCGTAGACACCGCTTGTGTGATTATAATTGAGTTAACAATAGCACACTATAAGTTACTTCTGCTAGCCACTCGTCGCCAATTGAAGCCGTGAGGTATACTCAGATCCTTCTCCACCTTGTCTTTCCAAAGGAGAGGCGGTTTTCCTGTTCCACTGCTACTACCGGCGGGTACTGCATCGAAAACTTTCAAAGCTGTAGTGTTGTAGTCCATGCGGACTATATGACCTTGCCAAAAAACTGTGACATGATTAACGTGAGTACATGCCGTCGTCGGCATAACCTCACAACCTCACGGTGCTCAAAAACTCAACGTATGAAATCAATGCGCTGATCAGTGCCTCATATGGAACCAATTGGCAGTGTGGAGGAAACACACTAACCACCTTTGCAGAGTTCGAGGCCTATCTAAGCCTCTTCCGAACTATGGGTCCGGCATCCGGTTGCATAGCAACTCTACATTAAGCTGACATATGGGCAACTCCTTCTGCATGTGGATTCAAGCCGCAGCCACCACGATATTTCTCGAAGCTCCCTGTCGCATGAACATTTCGGAGCAAGCTCCGAGGGCTTCTTTTTCTCGTGGTACCAGATTTAATTTCCGATCAAACCTCGTAGCCAAAACTAACAGTTGAGCTTCCGCACACTGGTGGCCTGGCATTGGATCTCATTTACCGCGTACCAACTAAAACATACTTATAACCTAAAGGTCGACTAAATCGCAGGTGCCTTCGTCGTACACTTCATATGAGAGAACATCACAAACCACTTACTTCTAATTTGTTTTAATACTTCCATATCCCTCAAATCCCTAATGTCTGAGTACATCGGACATTCACACATTACTTGAACCCAATTCTCTCGCTCTCACGCTGAAAGGCCTTGACCGGTCAGTGGAAAACCCATACTTAAACCCCGATATATTGTACGAACAGCACATAGACCCATACACTTGCCCAACAACATACTACATCTGCTCTTTCAAAGTCAAATTCATTCATGGTCAGTCACAGCTATTTGACATAGTAGACATTACAACAATTCACACGCACATCCGTTGGACGAGTTGGGAACAACTTGCCCTTGAGCAATATTCTCACCGTCTTTTCCTCCGATATGTCAGCATACGTAAGCTACAATTGTGGGTGAATGTCCTAACTAACGTAGCAACTACCTTTTTTTCTATCGTCTGCGGGGCTATATACCAATCCTTACTCTTGAAAACCTCTAGCCTGATACATCAGATGTTGGCACCGTTCATGCTCCTTCACCATTCAGCAGTACGAGAGTGATGATTATTTCGAGAGCGACTATATGTTAGTTATGATTGCCAATAGTGACACAAAGAACCAGTCCAAAGAAGAATAGCACATTGCCTGACATGAGAGACTATCGTTTTTGATGGCGAACACGCCAAAAGCACAAGGACAGAAGAAAGTGGATCAGTTCAAAATCTACTACCAAGGCCATATAATGGGGGAATTTTGAGTATTGGATTTTTCGTGGAAAGAGACTTCAGAGACGAAGAACGTGTATCTAGTATACAAAATATGCGTACGATCCAAGGTTCTTACAACAGATCTAATCACAATCGTGTCAAGGATATATGGCCAGTGCAGCAAAGAAGAGGAAGCTTCGATAAATTGCTATCAGGGAAGATAGCCGGTCGGTTTTCAAATTCCATTTCCTCTGCATTTCAAGCCCTCCAAAGAAAATCTGGTACGATGAGCAATATCGAGCTGAAGCAAATTAACTGCAAAGATTGTCTGCCACACATCGTTATGATCGACTGCAACCTGCGCAGAGTGTGTTAGATACCGAGGGCTGAAGAAGGATGCGTTCTGCGTGCAAACAATAATGAGCCAAAATGTTATGTGAGAATGAAGAGCTTGGGCAGCATATTGAATAAGGAGGCAAAGCGGACTGTTGTGAACGAGGAAAAGGCTTCTAGAGACTAGACTTCTAGTTATTCTGATATTTCATCAAGTGCTTAAGAGGATTGCCATAATACATCCGATTAAAAACTTTTATCGTAGTTGTTGTTATATTACAAAAGACTAAAAATGATTCGACAAACTCGCATAATTGAGTGTAATGGGCGTTGCGTACGAGACTGACTGAGGCTTACTACGCCTCTGTACATTATCCTCACTTTCCTAGTACTCCTTGTGATGTTGATGTTGGTGAACGAAAACTTTTCTCGCGCAAGCAATTTACCAGTTTCGCTCAGAGCGCTCGCTCGTTTGGTGAACGCTGAACGAATGCATACAGTAAGTTTCGCCGGATTAAGAAAAGATAAACATTTGTAAGGATTTACTAGAAAGTTCGTGTTATTGCTTTTGCTGATGTTGCTCTGGTCGCTTGTATTGAGAGACATATACTTTGTTGTTATTGTAAATGTTGTTGTAGCTTTCGCCACTATCCACCACCGAGTACATGAATTTGGCAAAAGGTCATTCATTTTGTTTGGAGCAGCGAGAGGTGGTAAGTAGTTCATCCGTTTTGGAGCACCTTTGCGTTGAGTTGTAAAATACGAATACGTGTGCAGTAGGGTGTAACGAAAATTTGAGGGAAAGTATTTGTAGTCTCAAGATTCACCGGCCTCATTCTGACTATTTGGGTTTGGATGTGTCTTTCACAGGAGAAGTAACAGGTTTAAGTTTTCTGGTTGAGTGAACTCAGTGTTACGCTTTCCAACAAATAAGTGTCAGGAATCCCTTTCACCTTCCACCGAAATATTTAAATACTATGATTTGCGATGGACGAACTAACCGAGTGGGTGGCGGTGAATGTCAGGAGCCGGAGAGCTGTGGTTCTGACTAAACTGCAGGGAAAGCCATTACACCTATAATGACATCAAACCAAAGAGCGATTCATAAAATTCCTGTGGTTAGGAGGCGCTTTTAAACTGAAAGTGCTCTTCATTTGAAGAAAAATTTCAAGGTGAAAACCTTATGTCGCAGAAGAAATAGTTTAGAAAAAAACCATTTAAGCAGAATAATATCATGACAACTTAAATCCAATTACATAAAACCGTACAGTCAGGTGGTTGCCTTTGAGAAGACTACTCTTATTCGCAATCTTCCGGTTTTGAGCACATAACTACTTCAGCTTAGTGTTAACTCCCGAATGGTTTGTCTGTGTTCGCCTGATCTCAAAGATAAACATGAAGTAAACGCGGATATGTATCTGTATCCCAAAAAGTGCGATTGATGTTGCGAATTTCAACAGGAGCAAGGGAATTAAAGTGAGAGCTTAAAAAAAGATGACTATGAAAAATCCACACTGTACGATTATGAAAAAAGAAACCATGAGAAGAGACCGTGACCGATGAGGCCGTACCGAAAAGGCTATACCTCCATCCGAGTTTGAAATTATCTCGCCTTCATTAAACGTCGTTTGGTCGATGGAGTGTCGGTTCTTAAGACAGCATTGAATTGATGGAACCTCAAGTTTAGCTTTACTTCTTTACAACGTTTGAAAAATGGAATCTTTCTCCAACGTAACATTCTAACTTTTCATGTACGAACTGTGACTAGAAACGTCTGATCTACTAGTGACAGTGCGTGATTCAAGCGTCAGTCTTAGAGGAGGGTTTTTAATGTAGAGCAGTACACACCAATCGAGTGCGTTGAAATTGTTCATCTGGTTATCCAAAATAAATTCTAAATTGTTAAAACTCAATGTGCAGGAAGAGAATAAATTAAACTAAAGTGAAAAGTGCGCCGCTAAAAGCAAAATGAAGATTTTTGTTTTCTGATACCGTCGCTAATTCAAGGTGACCGAGACGACCCTATGAAAATTTCGCGGCCGTAAAAGACAGTGAAGGAAAAGGATTTGATATCGCTCAAACTTTTTCCCATAGGTTTATATAAAGTCCAAGAGCTATATCAACAAGCTAAGGATGCTAGAGTCGACGTCTGTCGAAAAATAGTTACCACATCCCTCGAAATATTGGCAAAAACGTTGAAAAACATCTAAAAACTATTAGAGCTCAGGGCGACTGCTTGAGCGATAACATTTTAAGAATGTAACTCAATGAAATCTTTTTAAATCAAATTAAACTATTTTTTAATTGAAAACCAGCAAATGTGTTATTTTTTCATTAAATGTTATATTGGCTCTGGTCCGATGTGTGTAAGTATCAAAAGTAGTAGACATAGACCCGGCGAGTTAGTGCTGAGCTGATTTGATTTAGCTAAATCCGTCTCTCCGTCTGTTCGTCTCTCCGTCTGTCCGTGTGTCCGTCTGTTTGTTGGCAAAGTAGTCCCTCGTGTATGAGATATTTCAACCAAACTTCGACGATCATTTGTCAGAACAGAACAGAACAGACATGTGACGACATATGTACAACCGATTCCTCCGGATAAGAGAATCAATATATGATTTTAAAATGAAATACCAAATATTTGATATGGCAATGAAGGGTATAAAGTCCTCAGCATGACCGAAGACAGCTTTTCTTTTCTGATTTTATGTAATGAGAAAATCTGCAATCACCTATACCACCTTAATGTCCTTGCTGGTACACTGAAATATACATCTATTATGCTTACACGCGATATTTCGAAACAGTACTGAAATGAAATTTGCGTAAACATTCGCCAAAAAATATGCTGACTTGACTTGACGGCTTAAGCAAAGCTGTAAAATAAGTTGTTGCACTTGCCTGGAGGCACTAATTCGAATGCTAGTCCACCAACTTTATTGTATGTATGAGTGCGCAAAGTACCCTGCAGGAGAAGTTTGAGTCTCGCAGCCGGCAAATTTATTTCTATTTTTTCATTAGATGAATTTGAAATTCAACATGCCTAAATGAATTAGTAT